GACTGGCCTAGGGGAAAGTTTTTAATGGGGGTTTTAAAGTAATTTTAAATTAATTAGACCAATTAGTAATATTTGTTTTTAATTATGTTTTAATCTGTAGTTTTGGGATTTGCATTTTTATCTGGTTGTTAGCCGCCCTGAGTCCGCAAGGAGAAGGGCGGGATATAAATATAAACAATAAATAAATAAATAAATAAATCGTTTCAGAAGACAAGGGACAAGTCATCTGACCTCCAGTTTCTTTCCCAGAGAAAGAGGAACAGCAGACAACTAAGCAGACAGACTGAGGATCAAATGTAAGAGAACCTCCAACCTGGGGGTGGAGTGGAAAGAGGAATCAGCCTAGATCAGTGATGGTGAACCTTTTAGAGATCAAGTGCCCAAACGGCAACCCAAAACCCACTTATTTATCGCCAGGTGGGCGTGGCCCACTGGATGGGCGTGGCTGTGGTCATGGCAGATTGGGTAGGTGTGGCCAATGGGGGTGTGATTACCTCGATGTCGCTCATGGGGAGTGACATCTGTGGGGGCCGGGCAGGGTTGGGGGAGATCCAGGGGGTGTCTGGCAGGTGGGGCGGTGGGCAGGAGGCTCGTCCTGCGGGGTGAGGTGAGGCAAGGCAGGGCGGGGGTGCCATTGTCATAGGGAAAGGTGAGGCAGGGGCCGGGGCGGCTGCTGCCTGACACCATCGGCCCCTGCACACACAGGCCAGCGAGCACATGGGTGCTGGGATGCATCCGGCCATGTGGGACCTCGGCCAGTTAGCAGGCGGCTGGTTGAAGAGGGATGGTTGCCATCTCCGGGGCATGGCGCGCGTGCCTACAGAGAGGGCTCTGAGTGCCGCCTCTGGCACGTGTGCCATAGGTTCGCCACCACTGGCCTAGATAAATCCCTACATAGCCACAAGAGAACCAAGTCCAACCTCTCAAGTTCCACTGAGCCTTAGTTAACCCCAATCAGGTGTTAACAGTTGGGAAGATTCTTATGCATAGGCATGATGAGCAATAAGTCAGTTTAATTGGACCTTCATGTGTGGACGTGATCGTTCGTGCCTAACAGCAACTCACAAAGAGGACAGATTTTTGTAAATCCACACCTATTGTTGTTTTTTAAATAAAAAATGGACATGGTGCCTAATTTTAGGGATTTCCAAACTATGGGGCCCCAAATTTCCTAGTGGTCCTACTTTAGTGGCATCATTTCTTGCCATGTTGCACTTGAAACCCTGGAGAAAAGTGGCTTTGAACTGATGCATTTAACCTGCTGCTCATCAGACACATCAGGAATAATCTTTGGAAGGTACCAGATTTGGGAAGCTCTTCTATTATATTAGATATTTAGAAGATCCAGACTGCAAACTAAATATAAATGAGATCTGTGGATGTTGCTATTTAGAAAATGACCCACAAGTACCACATTTATCCAGGCTTAAATACCGTAATTCTTCGAATGTTACAGATCACCAATAGATGGCAGCATTGACACAGGACAATGTTTCTCAAGCTTGGCCATTTTAAGCTGAGTGGGCTTCAGTTCTCAAAAGGTTCTGGCTGAGGAGTTCTGGGAGTTGAAGTCCATATGTGTTAAAGTTGCCGGGGTTGAGAAACTGTGTTAGGAGCTCTGGTATGTCCTTTAGCCTCTATTTTTCACTTCAGTTTGAAGTTGCTGTGAGAAAAGATTATGTTGCAACATAATGACGTTATGGAAGACTGCAGTGAATACTTCTCAGTCCATATTAAGCAATGCATCAAGGCTGAATTTTTGACTGTTGAAGGAATCTTATTGAAATTGATCGCCAGATGTAGGTTGTTTATGACAATGATTATGCTGACATGAGTATTGTGCATCCCTGGGCCATATAAGATAAAAAGTGGACTGGGAAGAACTGATTTCTGTGATCCAGAACAAAATGGATGACCTATGACAGCTGATGCACCTCACATGAGAAATTTTGATTTAAGGACAATTGGCAGATTGCTCAAAGTGAAATTGCTGTCAAGCTTGCAATTTACAGGAACATATGAATTACATAACTGAGTTCTTAATTTAGAAGGTTTGTGTAAGATAGATTTCTCGGAAGCAGAAATGAAAGTTTAGGGTTGAATGGAATTTAAACATAGATCTCCCAGTTTCAGTCCAATCTCTTCAGTATTTGATGTTCATCTACTTTCATCCAATGTCCTAAATGTGTTGTTGATATTCAAAGTTGTCCCTTCGGTTCTGATGTTTTATTGCATTATTTCTCTCAAAATACAAAAAAAATCATAACCAGTATTTATTTTTTATTTTTGAGCTATTTCTTTTGGTCTCAATCACCAAATGATTTTTGACTTGCACTCAACTTTTATTGTATGTTCAAATGTGAGAGGAGATTTATGCAAGGTATGATCTGGGTTTTCACAATTCACCAAAGCGGATTAAAATGGTAATTGCATTATTCCCTCTGCAACTCAATGGCTTTTCCCCATCTGCACATGCCAAGAAGCACTTTGTTTTGTAGAATTTGGAATAGGAACTGTCACCTTTTTTGTTTGAAAGAAAATATTTTCTGAGTCCCCATGAAAACAGAAGTTTGTATTGCTGATCTAACTGATTGAGTAGAGCTCATATTTGCTGTCTTATTGTCATGTTCCAACTTTCCATTTTCCCTTTCAAGATAGACTATAAATCTGAGAGATATCCGATAT